TAGAATTTTTTTCTCTCACAATTTTGACTTTTTGGAGTTTTTAAAATGAAAAAACCTGCATTTGGATCTCGACATAAGGATTCTATGGCATTTCTTCAGTGACTGAGAATAATGTTGCTGCTGTCGTTTGCCATTAAGGAAAGGATTGTAATCCTTTGGCATCAGAAAATGTCAGACAATTGACAGTAGACGTTCAATAGCACTGCATCAAATATGCAAATGACGGAGTTTTTCCAAACATCCCACTTACCACTCCTTTCCCTCAGCCCCCACCCCCTCCCGGGCTCTTCAGGGCAGGTCGTCTTACCCTTCTTTTGTACACACTGCCGAATAACTGCTTTCCTTACTGTCTCCTCCTCCTCCTCCTCTGTGTATTCTGAATGTGGACAGTAAAGAGGGGTGGCCACTACTCCAGTGCCTATTCTACAGCCAAATCCCCAGGTGAGCCAGGCCGACGGTAGCTTTCTTGCTCTGCTGGGTTTTTGTTTTTGTCTTTTGCCACATTTTTTCCTTTTGCTCCATTTCCGTGAGTGTCTATGGCGTGTCCCCGTGTGCATCTGTGCCGTGAGGAAAGCTTCACAATGCATAGGACATGCCAGCTGCCCTTGTTGACCAGAGAACCCGTGATCCTCAAAGATTGCCAGGTCCTCAGCGACAGAGGAGCCACGCCCCACCCCAAGGACCCCATCTCTAGTTGATTTTGTAGCACATTCTGCCACAGAAAACAACTACGATGTATTGATGTATTTGCAATATGAAAATAGCCCCCTTCCCCGCTGTGGGGTTAAGTGCTTAGGAGCCATGAAAAGCCAAAAATTCACAGTATTAGGTTTGCACTCCAAAGGCATAGAATCTGGGGGTATTTCTTGTTCATAGTAGGAGGCAGCACTGCAGGCTTTCTGGCTCTTGAAATAATAATTCTCATACGGTTGCACAGCTTCCAACACTCCATCTCAACACCACACAGGATGAGTATGAGCAGGTACCCCTGGCCATCCCAGAGGAGAATTTTCCAAGGAAACCTCTCAGAACCCCAAACCATGTCAAGGCTGGAAGCAATTATCATTCACTTATATGGGAGAACATTCAGAGCGTCCCAGAAAGGAGCCTACCCCATCATACCGAAGAACACAGCATGCTTGAAAGAAGGCTACCAGGCACTGTTCACAAATCCCACTCTGTGGCAGCTGGGTGCTGGGCGCTGGGTATGGTTCCTGGGAGGATGCATGCTGCCCCCCCCCCACTCCGGGCTCACAGCTAAACAAAGGCTGCTTTTATTTTCACTCTGGATGAGCTTAGCTTGGGTCTTTTGTAAAAGCCAAGTGGCAGAAAGCAGCAGTGAGGACTGCCTGTGTTTTTAACTGGAAGCGCCTCTCTGCTAGAGAACGTATTTCGAACTGTCTTAGGCTCTCAGTGGAGGGTCCCCAGCATTGCAAAAGCTGGTCTGATGTGCCATTTCTATCAGTACACTCCACGGGGCTTGGTCCATGCCGATTTGGGTCAGCTTTTAATTTAGGTGATAGATTTACACGTGTTTTTTTTAAAGCAGTAAGACTCAAAGTGGGGAGAGAGGTGCAGGATCAATCTAATTTTGTGCACTTGGTGGTGCCCAGAAAACACGTTCCACAACCACATTCAGTTTGTGGGTCAACTGTGCTAAAAGATAGCCTAGTGACTATTTAAATAATTACTTTCCATATGAATTTGGAAAGCTTGGAAACTGATGAAATAAAATCTTAATGTTCCAGGACCCCACATTTTCAACCAAGTTCACATTTAGATGCAGCTGACTAGAAGTGACTTTCACTCTGAGGTGAGAGTTGTGAGATTTTAAAATTCCATTTCAGAGGGCAAAGAGTTGTCTTCACCAGGCATCAACCGCACAGTGCGTTAGTACTTAGTGCAGCTATAGAAAACTGAAGCTCAAGTCAATAGCTGGGACTTCACTGCGAGGCTGAAGAAGTTGGCCGTGCTTATTTATGGAGCCTTATTTCCCCATCCGTCCCCATCAGGGAGGGGTGAGAGTTTTCCTGTCATGAAATCCCACAGTACCCAGGGGAAAACTTGCTTTTACAAAGTGCTTTGCATGGAATTAATTGGTATTTCATGCCGAGCTAGTGTGTTAGGCCAGGTTGTCTAGAGAAACAAAACGAGTGACACTCATTTGTGTATAAGATAGAGCTTTATATCAAGAAGTAATTACATATCAAGATGGCATCCCAGCCCCGTCTACTCAGGTAGCTAGCTATTTGCTGGTGATGCGGAAGGATGCAGCAGGAAGATCACAGGCTGTTGGGTGCAGAGTCTTGTGGGTCCCTGGCCAGTGGAAACCTGGCCGGAAGACAGCAGCTCTCAAGATCAGGTGAGCTCTTGAGATCACCCCTGGAGCCAAGCACAGAGTCCCAGCAGGCAGACAGGCAGGCAGGCAGAGAGAGCTCATCTCTGTTCATCTTGCTCTTATGCAAAAGGCAATGACATCAAAGAGGTGTCATCAGGTTTGACCACATCCCTACGTAGGAATGTCTAGTTGACATAATCCCTAACTACCATAGTTACTAACTGGAAACATAATATTGGGCTTAAAAAAAAATTCTTGGAGCAAACATTCTGCTTTGAGGGAAGTCTTCTGGTTATGTAAATTCCCCAAGCAAAACTCCAGTGTATCATGATAGCTAAGTAGTATTTAATGAGCACATCAAAATTAATCTGGGTAATAGTAATGGGTAAGTAGATGTGTCCAGCTTGTGACTCACTCATAGTATCCCAAGAGAAAAGGTATTCTGAGCAAAAAGACACATTCCTGAATTTAATTCTGACTTTATGTTTAAGAGAAAGGTCGTTGGGGGCAGGGAGGGGGGTGTGGGTCAGTGAAAGGGGCGTGCCAAGTTGCTGGTCGGTGCTTGTACACCTCCCAGGTGGCAGCAGCCGTGTGTGGACATGCAACTTGCCACACTGGCTAGCTCCCGTTCACTCTCCCAAAGATGCCGGAGAA